ATCAAATGATAATTTTATATAAATTTCCTGAACAAAAATATCTGGTCAAGGTTAGGATAGTAGAAATGACGGTTGATGACGTCATCACACTGCCAATATTAAAGCTGTGACAGTTGCTGGGTTCGGTAGTATTAAAAGATGACACAGACTCTGCTCTTTGATAGGTACGAGTATTAGACCCTAATACTGCATAATAATAGGTACGAGTATTAGAATACCTAATAATTTACTGCAGTAGAATATGGTGAAATGAGCTACTTTCAGCTGATGGTGTCCTGTAAAAAGACTTTGTGACCATAAACGTCAGACTTCTGTGATACCATCTATTCATTAAAACATACACACATTTGCAGACTCTCTCGTTTGAAGACATCAGTGTATATATAGGGGCTCGTATTGTTGCTTACAATTTACTCGTCATTCGTGTACTATATAATAACTAGAGGGGAGGACACTTCTCTCATTTCTCGCGCGACTAATTTAAGAATAAACAATATTTCAAGCTATATTTCGCTTAGCGTAATACATTTGGTACCGAGTTTAACTCAGGCATTCGACTTTGTATGCGTATCCTTAGTTGGGTTTACTAGGAGCCTTTTTAAGAAGTTTGGGGGCCCTAGACACAAACTCTAACTTTAAAAGTAACTAGAATTGCGCCTCAATCTCCCAGTCTCAGATATAGAGTATTGCATTGCATTTGCATGTGCATATGTGTCATTTTGTTAAATTTATTAATATAGTACTAAACTGCTAACACAACTGACATCGAGATATTGTTTTGGGGCCGCCGCGGGGCTCCCTGCTGAACGAAATGATCTTCTGCATTTGGCCATTGAGAAGGGAGTATTCTATTCAGCGCGTTGTTCTGCGCGGGACATAGGCACGTGCCTCGCGTGCATATGCCTTAAAACGGCACTGAGCTTACTACCATACCTTTAAGGAATGTCAGACCATTTTCCCACGTTACTGATTTACATGGCCATGATCGCACCAGTTTAATATGCAAATGAAATTCCTTTGAAGGAAATACTGATCTCTCATTGGTTAAAAGGAAATGATGTTATACATTTGCTTATAACTCAATTTTTAGTTGGCCATTGAGAAGGGAGTATTCTATTCAGCGCATATTAAGTACTTTGGGGAGGTAAAGCGTCTTTCTTTTCCTTTTATTTCTGTTTAGATGGAATAGGAGTAGTGTTGGTCCCGAAGCTTTGATACCTCACTGCGAGCAAAATAAAATACCGTCCTCCTATTCAACATCGACAGCAGCATACTGGCTACACGAAACCCCCAGTCTTCCGACTCCACATAAAGAAAAACAAATATGCAGCTGAGGACTGCTCACGTAAAGTGACAGATTATGACAAAACTCATTTTATTGTAATAAAACAATGATAATTTATTATATAAGTACCCTGGTTGTGGTGAAAGCCCACAGCCAGAGAACTTGAGGTTATCTGGTTTCTCGTTGCAGACACCTTGCACATGAGACTCTAGGTAAAACGAACTCTGTATTTTTAAATAAGGCTAAAAAAAAACAACGATCGGGGAGAGCTGTACACGGCAACAAAACCCTAATACATTTTGCTCAGAAATATCAGCAACATTTTGTATACACTCACCTTCTGGTCTGTCAGATCCAAAGAACCGCCAATTCTGGAGTCTATGTACTACTATGGACAAAATTCATTGCTCTTTCCCGCCAGTACATTGGAAAAGTTTTCGCCTTGGTTTCTTACGGCCGATGCTTTACAAATTAACTAGCCCGACTCGCGAGACGATCCCAAATCCGTCTCGGAATAGCTCAAATTAACAACTTTTTAACTCAAAGGCAAGTCCAAAAATGTGTTAGGGAGTGTTAATATTATGTTTGTAATTCCACAAAATATATATTTCCATCGTGTAGTCAATGGCAAGGTCACTCGATTTTTCTCAGGTGTCTTTTATCCCTTCGGAATCGCACGAAGACTGAAAAACTACACATATCCATTCAAAAACAGCAGCGTACCTAAGCATCACTCTCAGACGACCATCGAATGAATAGAATCCGGCGAATTACCCTATATTTTCACAATAACGGTCAGATTCCCTGATAAAATTAACTATTGGAGGAAGTAGCCCATTTCTACCACGGGCTAAATAATGTCATGAAACTAATTTTACAAGATAAATGTTTAACTTTTTTATTTTAGATTGCATCATTTAATAATTTTTGTATAAATTTTCGGAACAGAAATATATAGTTAAAGTTCTGATAGTACAAATAATGGTTGATGACGTCATCACATTCAAATATTAGAGTCTTATACTAAAAGAGAACAGATTCTGCGCCGTGTTCGGAACGATTATTGGAACGTAACGCATATTTACTGCAGGACATAAACTAGTAGAAATTCGTCTTGCTTATTGATAAAACTGCAGACTCCTGGTGGTATCACGGATTAGAAGACGTTCAGCCTCTGGCTGTTTGTCAGCTGGCCGGATCTAAAGATTATGGATGCTCGTCTTTAGGTGAGTAAGACGTTAATTATTAAAAATATAAATTGGGTGATTTCATTAACAAGCGTGTTTGGAAATAAAAGGCACTCGATATAAACGATTAACCACCCGGGTTCCACCATTCAAAGCATGATACGAAAATATAACAGCCTTACGTGGTTAATGATCTGTTGTTTACGTCATAATTAACGATACACCGATACTTAAATACTGCTTGACAAACAATTAAATGGACAAATCGGTTATGGGCCACATACATGGTGATAATGCTATAGAACATTTAATTATATGTGGAGGAAGCACGCATACGAGTGGACGTAAAGCACACAAGAAAAGCATGACAGTGAAATTATTGACAATTTTGTGACTATTTCAGTGATGGACTCATTTTTACATTATTTTCTGCTGCATGCACAATAAAGTCGGCATAGTGATTTGAATTTTAATTGAATAAGGTTAGTATGAAAACACGATTAAAATGGCACTCTCGAATTTAGTCCTGATTCAAAAGACGCGAGCTTCGGACAACGTTCATTCTAATATTTTTCCTGTGTACGCGGAATTTTGAATTGCTGCGCGGCATATGTATTTGCTACCAAAACTGATGCACGGAATTTTGAAACTGCTGCGCGGCATTTCTAACGAGCAGCACAGCCGCGCATCTTAGAGGGACCATTGCCTGTAGGGAAAGTAAAAATGTTCTACATAGTTTTAAGGTGCACCACAGTTTCACGTGACCTGTAGTCATAAACTAATGTTAACCAGAACTCAACACATAATTTCTTCTCCCGGACCAGTCAGCCCAATCATTTGTCATGCTTGAACGAATTAATCACGATAAATGTTGTGTTGTTCTTGTCACCTTCACCTTTTCAATAGAATTGGGTTAATTTATATATGTAGTTTTTGTTAAATATCTCTAACAGCATGCAATTCACTTTTTGGATTTTTTTTCGAAAAATGAAATACAGTTAGATGCTTTACTTTAATTTACAGGTTTTGCTTTTCATTTTTTGATTAGTTGTTTAGATTTCTCTTAATGTCGAAATATTTCATTAGGTTGACTCATTGTTACTCAGATATACTTTATACTAAAGCTTCTGCACGCATTCTCTTAAATCAACGCCACATCTGTAGCATTTACTCTCACGAAATTTCAGATTACTTGCTGAAAGACCGTTTCTTATATTTGACTCTCTGCGCTTCATTTTGAAATAGTAGAAATAAATATAATGTTGACATGCAAATGTGTATAGTCTGCAATACTGTTCAGACCAAAGTGTATAATATTTAATGAGTGAATCCCCAAACAATATGCCGTTCATGTCACTTGTATATTCAGTCTAGGATGACGATGGTCCGTAACCAAAACCTAGCAGTCGATACTATTTACTTGCATTTCAGTCTGATTCGTCAGCTAATTTCAATGGTTTGGATAATTGACTGGTCCAGAGATGTTGTATCCTTAAAGGAGATGGTAATACACAAAAGTATTTAGGATCTATATCTCATATATTTCTTATTGTTTGTTGTTTTTATCAAAGTATCATTAGGTCTCTCTGGTCTAGTCTCTCTGGTCTAGTGATTTTTTTTAAAAAAACAAATGCTCTTGTAAAAGAGAACAAAAATAAAAATGATTGTTTTAGGATCTGCGTGAATACACTACTGATTTAATAGCGAGCTATAGAGTATTTTTCTATAAAGGACGATCTGTTGCTCTGCGGACTCTAGCACTAAATTTAACTTATCTTCATATTTCAAAGGAACTCTAATATGTGCTGACACCTAGGCATCGCTGAAATATGCTATCTCAGACGATGTGTGAAGTAGCATGTAAGCAGGGCGAACTACCTGTTGATCAATGCTTCGTAATCTATTTAATGTAAGTTGAATATTTTCAAAAATTGTTTCAACAAATTGTGTTAGCGTTCAAAGGTTTCTACTGTTTCATAATGGATGATTGTCAGGGGGAACGTGTGAATATCTGAAGTTTATGCGACACGCCATGTTTGTTAGCAGACGTGATTGTCTCCCCTGGCGATATTGTCCCTTTGTGTTCATACAGGTTTGAGAGCCAAATTGGCTGAATGCACTTTTGACACTGAACAGCCGTGTTTATAAAATTATAAACGTTGGAATGTACTATTTTGTACGACTATTAGTTAAATTCATCGCCAAAATTCAACACAGCAGGCAAATGTTTAGAAGCAAGCAAATAAGTGTGTGTGTGTGTGTGTGTGTGTGTGTGTGTGTGTGTGTGTGTGTGTGATTTGGATTTTTAACGTAGCTTTAACAATTTAAACAGTCATATTGCTACGATGTCTGCAGTGTGGCAGTTTATAGTAATGTCTAGCACTGGGGCATCATGCCGCAGACATGTAGCAACATGTTCCACCCAGTAACATTATCTTGACATCATGCTGACCAGTCCTAACACTATCCTCGTAATGCTGAGCGCCTACCGATGCAGCTGTTAATACCATTTTGTGAAGTCCTTGATATAACTCGACCGGGGTTCGAACCCGCGACCTCCCACATCCGAGGCGGACTCTTTAATCCCTAAACCACCGGAGTGGTCAAACAAGCAAATAAAAAGTCGATGTTATTCGTAGCGAGATAACATTAATTCAAGTTATATATACGGTTTAAAAAATTAAAAATGAGAAAGTCGACTTTCTTTGGGAAGAATTTGCTAGTTTACTGATGTCACACAAATATGCAATCCTAAGTCTGACCGTAGTCTTTGGACATGTTATTGGTGTGGCATTAAATACTGTCATACATATAGAGTGTAATATAGAAGAACTTTCGGGTTTTTATTTATTTCTATTAACGTACTTGAACTTTTTGTGATCAAGACACAAAGAGCAGGATAACCAAAAGACTTTGTTAGCTTCAGATAAAGGTGACAGAAAAATTATTGTTGCATTCAATACAATCAAGGATATTACGTCCTTTCTGTCAAGCCATATTTGAACCCACACATGTATACGTCATATTAAGTTTTTTTGGGGGGTGGGGTGGTTGGTGTTGAACAAAACAAAGTTCTTGTGCAACAAGTGGTACGCAGCCCTCGATCTGTTTTTTTTTTCTTCAGCGTAATCTGGACTAAATAACCGGTCGAACATAATTTTATGTTAAGTGTTATGTATATCTGTATTGTGTAATTAACGTGTGCCCATGATTGTGAGCTGTAATTAAAGATAATGGACATTTGTAAATAGAATTTTTACATAGCTAACTTTTATGTATGATTGTAAGTTGCAAACAATATGTTTACATGCATCTGGGTTCAGCGTCAGTCTTGTTTAAAAAATAAACTAGGCTTTTCAGTAGGAGTGATTAATGTTTTTTTTTTTAATTCCAGGTCAAGTTCAAATGCGTATTAAGAGAGATTTGCCATGCTGTTACTTCATTCCTGTTCTATATCAGTCTGTGGAAATCCATTATTAGAATTTACAATTGTGTTATTTAAAATATTTATTGGAATTATTCAAGTGTTCAATCACCTTTATGATTTATAAAAACTACTTTGGATTTTTGTGAACTTATTGAAAGAAATTATATACTACATCTTTGTGTTATATCAGGGCATTCCAATTTATCGGACTTCATTCAAACCATTCTATTTTTGGGGAAGGGTGGTGAGGTGGAATTGTGATCGGATATTTAGGAGAATTTTTTGAGATTTAATTCACAATTATGTAAGCGTCTCTTGAATTTTCACTTCGCATTGACATAAAAAATAACGTTGATTTTGCTTAAATTATTGGTTCCACTCATTTCTGTCACATATTATAGAACCTAGAGTCGTGACACTAAGAAATATTATGTTAACTTAAATACTTTGTGCATATATTTGTCTCAATATTTTAGTTTTTAAATACACAGCGAGGTAGTAGTTCCCGTCATATAATAATTCAAATGGATATATCTGAGATATAGCTGAATTTTTTTATGGGAAAGACCGAGGATACTCCAGCTGGTATTCAGTTTTGCAAACAAGCATAAAATGGATTCAGCAATGTCACAGCTATTAAGGATTAACGTGGATCAATCGTGGTTACCTCCCCTACTCAGCTCATCATCAATGATTAAATCCTCGTCCTCTTTTCATAGTATTCATTTATGCATTATAACAAATATAGCATGTACATATTTTGTTTTGATAGCACTTGGCTTTGAGAGAAGTAAATTAATTCCTGAAATAAAGGCATGAAAGAGGTAACAAAAGTGGTGATGCTAGTCGTAATAAACGGTTGACAAATTTCAGATGTTTTAATTACAATATTTCTTTGTAATATAATGTATATTTTGTCCATTTTCTCCTTCTGAGAACAGTAATTTGATTCCGTCACCTACTTAATCACTGCATATCTTTTCAAAGGATTTCAGTTGCCACAACTTTTAATCTAATATAATATTGGACTAGTTTTTTGTGTTATCCTCAGTTCCAAAATTGTGTGTGTGTGTGTGTGTGTGTGTGCGTGTGTATGTGTTTACGTACGTTTGCATTGGAAATAATTATAATTGAGTATTCGTAAAACTGGTTTGTCATTTGAAAATCTCAAAAAATTGTTCTCTCTGTCTATCTGTCTGTCTGTCTATGTCTCTCTTACAACAAACACACAAACAAAGGTGAGAAATATAGACCATTATAAATTTATTGAAAACTGTAGTCAACTAGATCAAATATATGCAGCTGTAAATACTATAGAAACACTTCAAATAACATATACGATGAAGGGATGTGTATTATACGGATACAAGAAAGAGATGTGTAATACACATATACATCTAAAAAACATTTGCAAAAGAGGATTGTGCAATACACATACAGTTATTGTTTTGTACAAAGATGAGAGGTATTACAATTAAGGAAGGAATAATACTAAATACAACGATTCCAGGAAATAGAAAATTTAAACAAATTACGAATATAAACCAAACAAAAAGGATATGCCATGGATAGTTTACAATATTTTAGTAAATCTCATTTATTACAGTGGGAATTCATAAACTATTTTGCGAAGAAATTTGAAATTGAAATTTATTGATGTTTTGAATATATATTTTCTGAATATTAGGATATACCTTAAAAAATCCATACAATATCAAGTTTACCGCGAATCTTCGAAATCGTTCAGAGGGCACAATAAACCTCAATAAAACTAAAGAGAATAACAGAATGTATTGTTTTGTAAATGAACATTCGACTGGCATGTAATAAAACACAGAACGTCACATCGGTCAAGTGATGAATATTGGTTTAAAAACTGAATCGTCGTCAGACTTGGACGGAAAATAATAATAATAATAATAATAATAATAATAATAATAATAATAATAATAATAATAATAATAATAATAATAATAATAATAATAATAATAAGCACCAATCATGATAATGCATGAACATACGTTAGGAATAAAAATACAACAACAAAAATATAAAAAAAAACAAACGGAGCATATAATTCAATATCCAAAATACGCACCAAAATAGGCAACACGTATAAACATGTGTGTTCTTGATTTGTATCAAATAAAATAATAAATATCTGTAAGAACACTACATTGGTTGCAAATTCAGAAAATGATGCAAATGTATGCAAGTTTACATTATAAGAAATATTACGTAGGAACGTTTTGAGGCACTTTAAGGCACTTCAGCATAATAGTGGCTATATGGTACCAACTGTAGGTAAAATTTATCAAATGTAAAACTTAAGAATTGCACGAAAAATCTTTAGAAATATTTAATAAGAAAAAATACATACATACATACATACATGCATGCATGCATGCATGCATACATACATACATACATACACACACACACACACACACACACACATACATACATACATACATACATACATACATACATACATACATACATACATACATACATACATACATACGTACATGCATATGATTACACCTAACAAATTGAATAGTATAAAATTCTATTACAGCGAGTCTCTTCATTATACCGTTCTACACCTTATCAAGCATATATGGGCAAGAATCCGATTAAGTTGATCACATTATTTGATTGGTACTTAGATTATTTCACTTAATTTTTTTCAGTTTTGAGTTAATGGGATGAAATTATAAGATGATTTTAACTCGTTAGATGCCCTATTATGTTTTCGGACTAAATTTCGGACAGAGGGGACCGCGATACCTCACTCGACATACAGTCGGATTCGCAATCCAAAGGTAGGGGTTCGATACCCGTCCAGCTCAGCCAGGGTCCGCTATCTCGGAATGTCCTTGGAAAAGTGTGTTGTTCCCATTTCCTTAGCATGATATAGCTAATGTGCTAAAGGTTCCATTAAAATCAACGAAAGCAAACACAAAATGACATAGCGGGTCATTTTTATGGTGCCAGTGAACGTCGTTGTAAGAGACACTGTAGTAATAATACTATCATATTCATGTAATTTCAATGAAACTGCTGAAATACTGCTCATATAATAATACTTTTCAATCCAGAAATCTTTACACAGGATTCCATTATAACACATTAGAAGAACTGCGCATACATAGATGCGATTCCACAGAATGTCTTTACTTGACATAATACAGTGAAACGAAACATTAAAAGAGCTGCGGATCCAAATCTTTCAATCGAGGTATTTGGAATAGCAAAAGATTTTACATAGGGCAAATCAAGTAATTCAGAAAATTACCAGTACTCGAATGATTGATGTTCGAGTAGAAAATTTTCATTCATAGCACACACTCCCATTTTTTTGTATCGCCTATAGATTTCAAAACCGAAAAGCATTAAGAGTATTTAAAATACTCAAAAATCATTTGATTCATTGATTTTTAATTTCTAACGTGTCTACAAAGCGTCCCACCACTGTCGAATTATTGACGTTTTAACGCAGATGTAAACACGCCATCGGACTGCTCTCTGTCCATTTTGGATTTCTAAAATAGTCTATTTCAGTAAAAACTGTGTCGTCTGCGTCCATTATTTGCATGTCTAATTTTAATATTTCTAAAACAAATTGAACGAAGATATAAGAGGAACTTTTGTACACCTTTGTTCAAATAGATGTAAATCCAAAAACTGCGACGGTGAACTGCATATTATATGTTGCTTGAAGCATAGACTGACCCAAGCGCAAATATTACGATTGTGTTGCTAAAGAAACTTTTGATTAGAAACACGATCAGCTTGGTGACAATCAAGTTAGAATTTATTAGTCAATGAATGAAATTACTAAATTTTGTTCATTTGTAATATCCTTGATGCCTTCTGTTTTTAAAATCGTTGGGGGGGGAGTGTACAACAAACGGGATGGTGTGAGAATACTATAGTTTATTTTATTTTAAAGCCTACACGTATTTGCCTTCCCCATAAATGTATCAGGCTTCTTTCATTGTCTAAATCTACTATAATGCCTCTTCTGATCATGCAGTTTATACCCATCCTCATTTCTTCATATGAATTTATGATTATTTAAATAAAGGGTTTTCCTTCATGGATCTCGTTTGAAGCTGATGTATGTAGTTATCAACACCAGTGATTATTCGATGTCCCGTATTCAAATGTTTCAT